CTGATGCAAAATTGGAAAGGGTACTTAAAGTTGTTTTAGCAACCTTAGAAAATGCTAGTCAGTGGTAATTTCCAGTGGACTCACATTCCTTCCTATGAATATAACACCAGGCTTTAAATTTACTTATTCCTTTGTCATTCAAGCTAAGTAGTATTTGCATAATTGTTTATAAAAGAAGGTTAGTCTTCATTGAAGCAGTCTGATGCTAATTCCAGTTTCAGCAACCCAAAGCAACTACAGTCAAGCCTGTATTAACCGGACCCCATATTAAGCGAACACTCTCTATTAAATGGACCGCAGTGCAAGTCCCATTTTTCTTTTCGCACTTTTGCTGTAAAAAATACCTGTATTCAACGGGCGCCTCTATTAAGCAGACACAGACACCTTAAACTTGACCTCTATGGTCATTTCTATTGTCAAAAACCTGTATCAAATGGACACAACAAACAGAATGCATGATTTTTTTGTTCACGTTTTAGCAGATCAATCATTTGCTTGCCAACAAACTGAGCTGTCACAGAAATGCAGTATTTTGTTATTCGGTTTTGTTTTCACAGAACTTTTCTTCTTGTTTGATTTTGTAAACCTTCACATGATTCGATCAATATAGATACTGTTACTGTGTTATTAAATCACTTTACCTCATATACTTGTCATTGTTTATGGAAATACGGTGTTTCAGAGTCCTCGACCGTTCACAAGAATGCTATTTGACCCTTCCAAGGTCTTTTAATACTGACAAATATTAATATGACCCTTTTAAGACTAATTCTGAGGGAACCCGTGTTCAACGGACACCCTGTATTAAGCGGACACCAGCACAGGTCCTGAGGGTGTCCGCCTAATACAGGTTTGACTGTATAAGCATTTTTCTATTCCTCTCTGGATGGGATGCTAGTCAGGTCCAGTGATACCTGGATGGCAAGTGCTTTTAGTTAGTCAAGTAATTGGAATTGTCTTGCCCAAAATGCAACACAAGGGCTTGATCCTAGACTGCTGGATCTGAAATTAGGTTAATTTGGGTCACCTCTCCCATCGTGGGGTATGAGTTTGTGCAGCTGGCCTCTCAGAACTCCAACCCTATTATAAGCTATTCTGTGGCCAATTATAGACCCCAACGTAGTCACATTTGGGTAAACATAACTTTTGCAATCCTAACTTAGTCACTTTCTGTTTATGCATCTACCTTTTAAAACCTTTTAACTAGTTCATCCTAAACTTTTCATGTTCGAATCTTCCCTTTTTTGAATCCCTACTTGCCCGAATCTTCTTACCCCCAAAAATGTGCTACTCCATTCTAATAAACTCTATTGAAAATACAACCCCATTATAGTCGATCCAGTAACTCATGAAAATGCAACCCCATACAGCAGCACATCCCCATCAGCCTATTATAAGGAAGTAACCCCACTCCCAGGACCAGTCTTCTTCCTTAAAATTATTGATAAAGAACATTTTTTTCAGGCATTGGTGTCGCATGACAGCAAACTACCAGATGATGTCATCACTCCTGTTTTACCACCAATTGTTCCCTCTCCTTCATTTCCATTGCCAAGAATACAACGTGTACAGCGTGGTGGCAGTCTGGAGAATCAGTCCACATCACAGGGACCAGTAAGTACTCCCCTTCATTTTAACAAGGTGATATATCGTAGAAATTTTGAGAAAACTTGGAGGTGTGGATAGTGGCCTTCTCTTGTTGTCCAAGTCAAGTTATGGCTGCTACGGCAAGAAAGTGACAAGGGATTACACTACCCTTTGAATTCCTGGTGGGAAAAGTTCAGGAATTGTAAAATATTCTTCCCAAGCCCTAAACAATTCCTTTGAATTATGTTTTTCCACTTATTTCTGGAGTACACCTGGTATTTGATTGTGATATTGAGAAAGCAAATGGAAAATGCTGTCATTTTCTTTTTCCACAAAAGCATGGTAAGGCAGTTTCTCAAAAAGCACAGTTTTTTGAACATTTACACCATGAAAATTCAGATTTTTGGGGACTTAGCATTTTCATACTTGCACATGTACCCTGGAAAACTCCTGATACAGAAATAAGATTACATTCAAATCATGTGAAAGGTAAATGCAAAAGTACCTAAAGAATTAATTTAAAATAAATTAAATTAAACTTAATATTAAGTACTTTTGTACTATCTTGAAAATGGTTTTCGAATGGTATTTATTATTAAATAAGAGTTTGATTTAAATTGATGCATTGTTGTTAGTTTTATATGTCATTTCCTGGTCTGTTAAAGTGTTAAATAATGTTTTTGTCATGTAGGTACCCAGTCTTTGCGTGAATGGCCAGTCCATTCCAGATGTTCATGAAAAGTATTTTGAAGATGACCTGGATAACATTGTAATAAATTTATTAATGTACAGCTATCCTTAATTTGTTTAATGAATAATAACACTTAAATTGTATCATTCAAAATCCATGTATAATTTAATTCAATGACCGAGACTCTTGTTTTTTGAGTTTAAAATAATGTAGATAGAATAAATCAGATTTACAAACTAGTGCCAGAGACAAATCTTGGAGTAAACCTTACAAGAAGTTATTTTTTGCCAGGTAATTATCAGTTAATAAAAATAACTCTACATAAAACTAAAATGTGTAACACTGTGACACCATACTGCAACAAAAAACTGTATTACTAAGTAAAACACAAAGATTGCTCATTTAAAATCGAACTAGTGATCTGGGACATATTGGTATAATAACATAGCAACAAGGACATAGTGATGTAAAGGAGAAGTATTGTTATGTGTTGTTAATATGTAGGCATTTATGTTCCTACAATGTTGTTTCTCACATTTGTGACATATAATGTTGGAAAAGGGTTTTTTATGTGTGACAAGGTCAGTCTAATGATGTCGCAAGTGAACTAGCCTTACATTTTCAACAATTGAATTGAGCCACTGAGAATTCTAAATGGGAAAAATTATTTTGGTTTTCAGACCATAAGTTGTAGCAATGTTTAACTTACCTCTAAGGGATTGAAACTGAAATAGTAAGTTTGACTGAGCAAGTAAATCTTTCAATGATAACATAAAAAAATAAAAAGCATTCCAACATTTGGAGGCTATTAAAAAAGAGAATGAGCTTTGCTGCCACATGTCACATATTTGGTTTAACCATGCATTAAAACATCATCTTACAATGACAACAAAAAATGGCAACTTTTCATAGAGTCATGTTTGAAAAACTTAATAACTGTGTTAATCCTATGAACTTTACTAGCATCTATCCAATGTTTAATTGCTAAAGTAGCACGATCTTGAATTGCAGATTATGACACTGGGGCGCATCTAGGGGGTTTGGAGGTTCAGTCAAACCCCCTAAATTAAAGAGAGTGAGACATTATAACAAGCTGACTTGACCTCAGAATGTGGGAAATCCCATTCCCAGGACCTCAATTTTAAAAATTTTCCAGAAGAGCATGCACAAAGACCCCGTATAGCAGACCACCTTCATTGTTCCATATCTCTAAAATCCTGTATCCACACCAGTGATCAGACCTAAAATGCTGAAGAACCTTAGAATAAGTTCTTTGATGATGGTGTTTTTCTCCTGTGTCTTCACAGAGCAGTGTCAGTGCTTACCCAGCTTACAGATCGCCAATGCTAAATAAAAGCAAGAACTTCACTGGAAGTCCTGAGTCTTCATACTCCACAGCAAGCTTCCACTCATCTGCATCTAACAACTCAGGCTCAAAGTAAGCAAACATTGTGAAAAAATTTCATCCAGCACTCACTTGCCATTGTCTAACAATCGTTTTGCCAGGCTTGGCCTGTTTTGAATTGTTAAAATTCTAGTTTGGCTCTAAGACTCGAGGGAGTAAAATGAAAGAAATTTCATCAAGGCCTTTGGGTGGCATAGAACTATTGGAAAATAGTTTCATTAAGTAGGAATTCAACCAATAAATTCTCAAACCCACAAAAATTAAATAACTTTTAAGAACTCTCTAACATAAGACTCCAAAAGAGCCTTGTTTATGGTTTGTGATCTTTTGATTGACTTTATAAAATTTTATTTAAACAGGACATTAAGAGCTTCAAGTCCTGCCGCAGACTTCAACCCCATGTCTGCCATGTCTTCTTCCTTATGGCACAAAACAGGAAGAGGACACGCCATTTCTCCGTCTCCAACTCTCATGACAATCAGATCAGCATCAGAAGGGGGTGCTTCTTTACAAAAACAATCAAGCTACTCATCTTTACAAGGCCATGCAGATGAGACAAATGGAACTTTGCCTCATTCAAGAAGTCAATACCCCTTTATTAATGACTTTGACTATGGTGAAGGTACTGTGAAGTAATGCACCTATGATTGGGAAGGGTGAAGGTGCCAAGGATGGGTAATACTGGGGTATAAATTTTCAAATAATGTTTGTGCCATCTGCAGTACTGGATAGATAACACTCTATTCTATGTGCACAAATAGTCCATACCATTAGTCATTGTAATTATAATGACAATACATAATGCTTTCGCTGTTACCTGCCCCTAGCTATATGCAGTGTAACATAGTAAAGAATGTGGACCAGCAAAGTGACCTCACTTGGTACACGTCACTTCAAACTAAGTGGTTAAAGCATTCTACCAGTATCCTGAAAGTCATGTATGCATTAAGGTGTCTCCATAGGGTAATCATTTATGGCGTTGCACGCACAAGTGTTATATTTTGAATGCTGTTTTTGCATTCACTTTCACACCTAGTCCTCTCAAACTTATCACATATAATAGGCAATGATTAAAATTAATAGTATTTTGCCATCATCCCTGTTAAAATTTTGTGATTTAGTCTTGAATTATAAATGCCCAAACAAAATTAATGTTTTTTACTGTTTTTATGGCTTTATTTGTGATTTTCATGAATTTACTTCAGTGAAATATTCCAAAATTTTTGCGTCACATCGCTTCCAATGGGATACGAATTTTAAACACGAAAAAGTAGGGTTTGTAAAGGCAGTTTTTTCGATATTTTCAAATTTTTGTCTTTTACCGCTGCAAAAAATCTGGTCTTATAGATTTCCCTGAAAAATGAGCTCCAACTAAAATAAAATATTTTCTACCAATCTGTCAAATTTGACGGAATTTCACCGAAGGAAATGCGAGAAAATTCACCGTCAGTTTTGCTTATGTGTTCATGTTGACGTAATAAAATATCGAAAAACACTGATGTTTTCCTTTGAGCTCATGCAGATTACTTCCTCAGCGCTCACGCAATTGTAAAACTATAGGGAGCCCGTTTTCATTGCAACTACTTATCTGTTGCCCTATGTGTTTTGTTATCTTCAGATATGATCGTCAGCTGATAGTACCTATCTTTCCCTTAATTATTCTATATACCAAAAAAACTGAATTCAATAGTTGCATATGATAATTATTGTAGTTGCCTCATGTAATGATATTGTTCCATAATCTAGAACTAGAAAGGCCTTGTCATTGTGATAACTTTCTTTTATTGATATGTTGCTAATTATTATTAATACATTATAAAATAATATTATTTTTAATGATAGCATTTTTATTACATCTTTTATAATATTTTATAAAACAAAATGGCTTAAACTACAGTATTTTATCTATATATTGTTTACATTCTTTTGATAATATTTCATTAATAATAATTAAGATTATTATTATAATTATAAATTCTCTTTAGGTGACCTTGAAAATTTACTGAAGAAGCTATCATTAGAAAAGTACCAACCAATATTTGAGGAACAGGAGGTGAGCAATTGAAGCTACAGTTAAGAAGTTAAATGTGGGTTGTCACTTGTTTTGGTTTGAAGAGGTACCGGCAATCAGGATGTCACCATTTACAGAGGTCCAACTTTCAAGTCTGTTGATGAAACCCAAATCCTACATGTACTATATAACCACTTAACAAAAAGTTGTTGAACATTATTTGAATGTGGTGCTGTTTGTTTTTTAATGTATTTTAATGTTTAATTTGGACTTCTGATTTTGGAAAATAATTTTGGGAGATAAAGGATTACAGTGCTTCTCATGTGCATGGGGGAGGGTGGTACTCTGTAGATCATTGGTAGGGGTGTGCCGCTTGGACACTGGAACCCTTATGCTAAACTAGACCATGATCAGCTTGATTTTGCAACCCAACTCTAGACTAGACACTAAAAATCCCCACCCTATCCTAGACTAGCTATTTTCCATGCAGAAACTTTATCACTATCATAGTCCAACATACACTAACTGAACCAATACCTTACAAAGTCAATTCCGAGTTTCAATTTCTATTATAGAACCCTGTGTAAAGAACCCTGATGTGGACTAAATTATTTAAGCATTGACCACTTTTCTGGCAAAGTATACCCTATTCTAGACCTTAATTGTCTGATTCCTACATACCCTATCCCGGACTAAACTGCCTAAAAGCCATACCATTCACAACGATACATAGCCATATACCTTATATATGGGAGTACCTCTCCCCCCCCCCTCTTCCAGGCTCTTGCACAACTAAGCTTGTCACGCAATCTTTGGCAGGTTGACATGGAGGCTTTTCTAACGCTGAATGATAGAGATCTCAGTGACCTTGGAGTCACACACAAGGATGCCAGGCAACAGATTCTTGCAGCCATTTCTGAACTCAACAGTGGCAAGGTAATGTGAAGCTAAACTGAGGGATCTGCTACATGTATATTACCATCTGGGGTTGATCAGGCACTAGAGCGGTTTTCAATTGAGTGTCGTAAAACCAAAACCAAACCAATTACTTACCAATTACTACTCAGCCAGTCTCAAACCGTAGTAAAACTAAAACCAAAAACAAAGTAATTGTCTAAGTACTTTCAACACTCAATTGAAAACCGCTCTATAACTAATTAATTATTAAGGTATGATCACAGTTATGCTAATACAACAGGCTGTTGGCTGTTAATGCCTATACACTTGATAAGAGTCCTAATATGCAATAGTTTGAGTTTTTTCAATAATTTTTTCTGCCATATGTAACAAAATGGCAAAAACCTATCTTAATATCACCATGTCTAATAATTTCTGTCACTCTTTTAGAATCTAAGAATCCAGCACGATTGTAGAATTCGCATGAAATTTGTAAAATGTTTGACCATTGTTTTGAATAGTTATTGTGGACACTAAAATATAGTAAGCAATAGCTGAGAAGATGCATGGCCCCTGAGAGAAATTATTGTTTTTTTAATTAAATGTTGTGAGCGTAGCAAGCAGTAATCAAATTGCACAATAAATTATTTGTGACCAGTTGTTATGTCGATTACAGGATCGTGAGAGGCAACATCTCCATGAAACACTGTCTGGTTACCATAGCAGCAAATCACATGGTACTAGTGGTGAGTGGAAATTGTTGAATCAGCAGCATTAGTAGTTGGCTCAAACAGTAAGTAACTGTGCCATTCTGTTAGGTGATAATATTATTGGTTTTTATCCAGACTGTGCTGATTGTCTCCCTGTGTAATAACTGCTAATAATAACTAAGCTTTAGAAGGACCCTATGCATTCAATTGTACCTTTGTACTGAAGACAGCTTTTTTGTAGATCTTCTTTGATAGATTCAAACTTGGATAGTCTGAGTGAACCAGCCTCTCTTTACAGCTGAAAGAGGTGTCTTAAGGTTCTTGACAGTTAAAGCATTCCATTCTGATGATATGGACTGCTTAGACATGTGTAGTGTCTCTCTGAATTGTTTTCCCTTTTCAAAATAAAAAAAAATAAAATCACAGTGGGTATGAGCCACTCAACTTGGAAAACGGATCGTCTGTAAACAGTGACAATTTTGATGCCACTAACTTGAGGTTTTAATCCATAAGTTAAGTTAAAGTTAAAGCCTTTTGGCATGGTTAAGAAATTGTGCAAAACACACCTGTAAGAGAATACACGAGGAGATGTAACACTGTTGAAAACATTCATGAAGTTATTGGTCCGAGAGAAACCGCTGACCAGTTAGCTCAGTGATAGAGCACCAGACTAGCGTGCGGGAGGTTGCAGGTTCAAACCCCAGCTGGACCAATAGAAAGTGCTGCCTTTGTAATGACATCTGCAAATGGTTAGGCTTTCTGGTCTTCTCGGATAGGAATGTTAAACCGTAGGCCCCATCTCACAACTCTTCATAATTAATTCTGCGGGACGTAAAAGAACCCACACACTGATAAAAAAGAGTAGGGGACATAGTTCTCGGTGTGGCGGTCTAACTCTCACCTGATGGTTAAGTGCTCGAAGATATTAGCTGCATAGAAATGAGTTACTCTGAAATCCAAGTGTAAATAAAGCAAGTATGCATGTATGTATGTATGTATGTATGTATGTAAAGATAGAGTTATCCTCGTCCAAGAGACCGAGACAATTATAAAGAAAGTACCGCTTCTTGTCCGATCACCAAAGCAAGTTATAATTCTCAATTTCATTCCTCTCACTTTTTTCGTTCTTTATTTCCCAGCCAGTATCAGTGATTTTTTTCCCTCTCTGTTACCTTTTCTCATCTTAGAAATTTAAAAAAATGCGTTCCGCATAGAGTCACCATACCACAAGGACAGCACCACGTCTCGTGCGCTCAACAAAGTTAAGCCCTGTTTGGCGGGGTTCATACTTGGATGGGTGACCAAATACGAATACCCCGTGTTGTAATAACTTTTTTTTCCCCTGAGATGGACTAGCATATTCTATTAAGGTGGATTGGTATTACTCTTTGCTGCTGCTGTGGAAACTGATATAAGCTCCAGTGGTGTGGGTGACTTTATGCTAAGTGCAGCCTTTAAGCACTATAATCTTAAGCATCTTTCATAGGTGTTGAAAACTTAATGACCAAAGAGAGATGTCTGCTTTCTCCTGCTGACAGGTTTTCATGTCCTTGGGCCCGTTTCTCAAAGGTCCCGAAAAGTTTTCACACCCAAAAAGCCTTAGCAAAATCTCAAACCTTATGACTTCAGAGCTGTTCTATGCACATGTTCTTAATATAAACAGAGGTTCTCTACATACAAGAAGTTTCAGACGTATACACCTCTCTGTCTTTAAATGCCGATTAACTAAAAATGGCTTTGTGGGCCCAAAAAGTTTCTGGGACTTTCAAGAAACAGGCCCCAGGATATCAAATATGGCTGTGAAACAGCTCAACCATTTGGCACTATGCTCATGTATTTACAGAATCTGAATAATCTTGAACAGTGTAGAATTTCATTTTGGTTTCTTTGTCGCTTAGTTCAGTTCGAATCATGAGAAACATGAAGTCTCACATGAATGGTTTGATACCCTTTGAGAGAAAAATTGAACAGACAACAGAAAAATCGCCCCTAGCCCTAAAACGAAAACAGTTGCTACACCATGATGACAAAGACAATTACAAGCTTACGATAGCTGCTACACTTCTGGTTAAAATGATACAGAGTGGCAATGATATCAGTAACACCTGGTTTATTCCCAATCATGTAAGCTTCTGGGAGGCTTTCACAAGCTACTTTGATGAGTGCTGGTTTGTCCTAACTTCTCCATCCCTTGTTTTTATTTTTATTTTCCAGGTTATAGTTCTGTTTCCCCTTCAGCAAGTGGAAATCTTTCTCACTGGCCCTTAAAACAGCCACCTTAGTCATGGACAGGGATAATTTTTTTATTTGTATATTAAGTATTAACCAAAAAATGATATTTTATAGTTACTGTAATGCTTTAAAGGGCTGTGCCCTCCAGCATCAGGCTTTATTTGCAGGCAAAAGTTTTAATTAACACTAATGATAAAGGTATTAATTATTATATTATTACAGAGAAGAGGTCTCAAACCTTTTTAAATGGCTGAAGTATATTTATTGGTAGTTAAGTATTATTGAAGATAAATTAAATTAATGTCATGTTAAAATTAATTACAAACATTGTTCAGTCAGGGAACAAAATGCTTGGCTTGGACCGAGTTCAGTCTTGAAACCTGAGGAGCGTGATCATTGCACATGAAGCAATTGGACAGTAATAATAGACCATATTTGTATTCTTGTTATTGGACTGAAGCTAGCTTGCAACTGAGGCTGATGCAGGGAGTCTTTTCAAATGCAAAGCATTTATCTCTTTTTAATGATATTCACTCGCATGTGCCTCCATTACAAGCTAGTTCCAGTCCAATCCCAAGAATACAAAATTAATATGGTCTATTTTAACAAATTGACATCAGTTTTCATGCATCTGTCCTGTTATTGATCTTGAATTTTCACATAACATTGTCAAAGTAGCTGTGGATCAGCAAACTACTTTGATAATGTTATGACGAAATTCATTGTCAGGCCAGACGCATGAAAAAGTGATGTCAAGTTGTTTTTTACAATAACAAATAGTCAAATTGTCCACTCTCGCTTGTTGACACATGGCATAAATTATAAATTCATGTGTCTGTTCGCTTTCTGACGATGAAAATTAGCCAATGAGCATGCAAGAATTTCTGCAGTTATCGTAAAATGAAAACTATACTGTTTTCCCAAATGGCAGTTTTTCCCTACTGTCTGTAATCTTGTGAAGGAGAGTGTTTTTAACACTAGTGTACTTGTTAACTTCTCACTTCCTGTTTGTTCTAATGAATGAAAGACTTGATTATCTCAGGCAAAATGGTTATGATTTATATGTAAGATTTCCAGAAGTGATACAGAGAAAATGAATGCAAGACATTTGAGAGTTATAATGAGAGTTACATGTATGATGATTTCTGTGGTTCATTGCACGTATCAAGATGTCGCATACATGTGGCAGAAATTTATATTAATTTATTTTTTGTCTAACACTCTACAAGTTTCACTTCCATCATATTATATTTAATTTGTAACCTGAGTTGTATTTTTTTTTCCTTTAAGAAAATGGTTAAATTCACAATCACGATGTTGTTGCATGCATGGTGTACGAATTAAATTATGTTCATGTATTTTTGCTGGATGCTATACGAGGTCAAACTCCCCTAAAGTATTTTTGTAGCCAAAACAATTCTTTAAAGGGGCACTGTCTGTGATTTTTAGCATGATTTCAAAAAGTTCTGAAATATAGCTAGATCATAAGAAGCCTAACAATGTGCAACAATAATCAGTAGAACCCATTGTGTTGTTCCAGAAAAGATCCATACCATCTCCCTGGAAGGTTTTTTTTATTTGAGCTCCTGCCCCACACAAACCCCAGCCCTTCAGGAAATTCCAGTTTACCCTCGTACTCTCCTTTAAACATTTGGGATTTTGAGAGCCCCTTTTCCCTTTGTAATTCTAATGACTTTCCATGGAGTGACTATTGATATTTTGTGGAACCTTTACACTGTGAAGTGAGAGGTATACTAACATTTGGTGCTGACTCCTATGAAAACAGCAAAATCGTGTTGCAAAGTATCACTTACAATGATGGGCACTATGTCGATTCCACTCACCACACATTTGACATCTTTTTAGGGGGAGGTGGAGTGTTCACAGTTTTCATGTGTTATTTGACCAATTAGAATCTGAGGGCTTTGGCACATTGCCACTTTAAAACTTAGTCTTGATTTTGACTGGTTTTGAGTGGTCAGTATAAATTGAAGCCATCAAAATGTTGTCCAAAAGGTAACGGAAACCTGTCAAAAAGAATTGATTGAGCATATTGTGGAAATAGGGCATGCTTAACTGTTGGAAATTTATTGCTTTTAACACTTTGTTAGTTGTCATCAAAAGAGAAACATCATTTTCACAATCAGTGTAAAGAAAATACCAGGAGACAGTGCCCCTTGAGGATCTCAACAAATCGAATCTGTTTTTTCTTTTTTCTTTTTTTTTTAAATTTGTGGCTTTTACTTTAAGTATTGATTTCCCGATTGTAGAGGAATTCAGGCTAAACCCAATCTGGTAAAGATTGAAATTTTACCAAAGTTTCATGTGCTCAATTTGAAAAGAAATTATCAAATAATAGCAAAAATATATGTCCTACAAAATTTGTTTCAGTTGCTGTTAAAATCGCTTCTTTCATCTTAAGCAGTGTAACTTATGCTGTGTATATATAGGCTGGTTTAATTATTATAAATTAAGTTAATGAAAACTCACAACTGTAAGTTAAAGCTAATTATTCCCTTTTTGTACTTCATCAAGAACATATTTTATGTACCAGGTATGGTACCACACTTTTTTAATCCACACAGCACAAAAACTATCAATGGCATTTTTTTACAAAATACCGTTTCTGCTATTATTAAACTAGGGCCCATCCGTACTAGGCTGAAATAGGTTTGTTCGGCTCTTTAAAAAATGTCGTCTCTACCAAATTTTCATTTCGGTAAATGGGTGTCCACATTTAAATTTCACAACATTCTTTGTCAATCGCAAAAAAAGTACTCGAGCACGTCTTCGCGTCCAAACAACGTGATTGATGTTTCTTTAAAAGTAATTGACAGATCTGTCAATTTTGAAACTTCACACAAATTTGTTCTGCTCGGAGGCAGGACGGCCAAGCCTTTGAAGTTTGATTGAATTGACTGAATTTGGTAGCACTTTGAATCACCGTCTGCACTTGTCAAATGGAATTTCTGTGCTTTTGCATAATAAACAAGAATTCGCCTATTGCGGATGGGCCCTGATGAACACATCAAGGTCAATCGATCGAATTTTTAAATCTGGTCCGAGCTGAAATACCGTTTAAACAATCTTCAGATTCAATTATTTATTGGTAAGAAAAGTATCATTTTGATGAAAGCAATGCAAGGCAGCTGAAATAAATGTTGGCCTTCACAACGAAAGGTCAAGGAATTGATGGTGGTGTGTTAATTGTGTACTAGCTAGTTTAATACGGTTGGATTGCTTCTTTCTGTAAATACTCCCTAAAAGAGGTATAATTTTGTGTTCAGCGAGGAACATGTTTGGGTCAGTGGCATTCCATGTCCAGTATCTGCAATGCCCCCTTAAATACAAAAAATTCTTATAGTCTAATGCCCTGGGTTGACCGACATAAAAACTGTTAATGTCGGAATAGTTAATAAAGGGGAATGGTTATAAAGCTTGGCAAAGTTCTTTGTGGCATGTTTTTATTCGCCTCTTAGGTCTTGAAAATACACACAATTTCACTCTACTTCCACAGTTAAATGAGCGTTACATTATGTTATACCCCTTAACTGGAACTAGCACTCATCATGATACTGGAGCGCCACCTACAGCAAGCTCTTGTTACCACACAGGGGCACCCAACGGATCGTTTCGGTAAATTATCTGTTCGGAAGACCTTTAATCCCCTCTGATTTTCTTTAGAGAATTGTCACCTCGAACTTTCGTGATATGAGAAATTTAATGTCTGTTGTTTTCGAATTGTAAAAAATGTCGTTTTGGGTACCGAAAAAANGCGGTATCTAGCTGAAGATGATCTTCATTTTCTCCCTGAAGGCCACAAAAGGTAACAAAAGACTAGTCTTGAACATGATTGCTCGGCTAACAACGCCTAAGAGAGTGAAAAGAAGCTTGAAGCGTCAAACAGTGTCAACACAGCAGTTACAAAGCCCTGAATCAAATTTAAAATCTCCTGCACGGAAAAAGGTCTCCTCGTCGGGCTGAACTGAACAATGATGCAGACGAGTATCGAGTACCGAAAACGAGCGACGTTTCTCTTCCGACAAGTAGGCGTCAGTTACTCAGCCCATGTGAAAGGTTCATTGAGGAAAAGACAGGGGCACCCAGCGGATCGTTTCGGTAAATTATCTGTTCGGAAGGCCTTTAATCCCCTCTGATTTTCTGAAGAGGACTGTCACCTCGAGCTGTCGTGATATGAGAAATTTCATGTCTGTTGTTTTCGAATTGTAAAAAATGTCGTTTTGGGTACCGAAAAAAGGTCAGCTATCATTTTCGGAAAGGTGATAAGACCTAAGGTTTTCGGGGAATGGACAAAAAAGCCCTAATAAATTCGAGAATACTCAAGTTCCCCTAGAATAACCCAACAGATAAAATCTTTTTAGCTCAACCTAAAATTATTTTAACCTACAGAGCTTTAAAATTAAAAGTACTCCAGATAGCCTAAAACAACGTTTAAAAGCATTTGAGAGAAACCAGTCGTTGGCTAACCCTGAAAAGAGGCAAGAATTAAAGTTTAAACTTAAGGAAGCAAGCACTAAAAGATAAGAACTTGAAGAAACCTGTACCAAGATAAGAGACGCNTCGTGATATGAGAAATTTAATGTCTGTTGTTTTCGGATTGTTAAAAATGTCGTTTTGGGTACCGAAAAAAAGTCAGCTATCATTTTCGGAAAGGCGATACGACCTAAGGTTTTCGGGAAATGGACAAAAAAGCCCTAATAAATTCGAGAATACTCAAGTTCCCCTAGAATAACCGAACAGATAAATTTTTTTTTGCGCGACCTAAAATTAACCTACAGAACTTTAAAAGTACTCCAGATAGCCTAAAACAGCGTTTAAAAGCGTTCAGCGGAGAGAAAACGGTCTTTGGGTGCCCTTGCGTAATGTTACCCCCAGCCCTGCTATACAAGATTGGCTGGGCTTAAGACAAAGAATCAGCGGAACATCAAGTCACTGCCGTGCAGTGTGAAGTCAACATACAGTGGCTGGACGTAGTCCATACAGTCTATGAAATAGCGACGTTTTCTCGTTTTCCGAAGTCTCGGGGCAGCATTTCGAAACAAATGGATGATTATATTCCTGAAAAGACGATAAAAGAACATTCACAGTCACTTTTGACTTTAAAAACTCGAAACTGTTGAACAAACTAATAAGCGCGCCTACATATCTGCAAGTTTCAAATGACATATCAGGCGGCGCGAAGCATGGGGAGTTTGTTAACGCGAGCGAACTTAAACGTCAGTTTTGGTTCGAATTAGTTAATTGATTGCTGGCTATAACAGAGAGAAGACATCAAATAAACCAACTGCTGAACAAGTGAAACAGTCTCCTTCAGTTTCGTCCCTTGTTACATGTGTCTTGTAACACACTGATGATGAGAAAACTCGCAAATTGTTGACTCTTACCAGGAATGTGCAATTTTAAATAAAACAGC